CCTGTCGTACACGATCTCGGTTGATAGCGGGTTTGAAACCCCTCATCCTGCGCCGAGCCAGCGTCGATGTGCAGAGCGACCACGTCAGCAACTGACTGGACAGGCTTATTGGTTTGTTGATGTCCACGCTATGCCGTAAACATGATATGGCGCGCTGGACCTCAGCGTCGGGCAAGACTGCATTGACCTGGGGGACGGCGAGGCCGCCCTCGGCAACTCCCGACGTCACCCCAAAGACTCGCGGAATCTGGACAACTGGTTGGGCGAAGGCCTGACCGTAAAAAGATGCCTTGATATTGACGGTGAAAGGCCGACAAGTACGATGTGCAGTATGTGAAAAAGGCTCCTGTCACAAGAACGTCCGAAAACGCATGGAAGAAGCTGTCGGCTGAAGTCACTGTTGCGCCTCGCTGGCGGGACAACCGCTCCTGCACTGCATTGGAATCGACATGGGAATCGCGACCTCGGTCGGCAGACGCTTCACGAGCTACAACAGCAGGAACCCGCGGCACAGGCAAGCGAGGGTCAAAAAGCATGATCAAGTTTACGAGCATGTAGATCACAAAACCGAATACATCTTCAAAAGTTCGAATAGCCCATGCAACCATCATCTTAAACGCCTCATCTCCCTGCTCCACCACCTCACCTGGCCCGCAAAGAAGCCTTTTGGCACGAACCAGCCCAACAATCATGGTTCATCTGCAACAACCTCTGCCCAGCGCCCTCCGGGGGATGACACCACAACCATCATCGATTCCCCCACCCCGTCTATCGCAGCTGGGCCGGCGCCTGGTCCACGCGTCGGGCTGCCTCCGTCGCGCCTCACAGGCGCGGGCCCAGATCCGACGAGATCGTCGTCTGAGCCGCCACCTTCAGCAACGATGGGCGCTGAGGCGTCGTCCGCAGGGCCATCCACGGCAGAGTCCGAATCGGGCCCAGACACATCCATGAACACATCGACCTGAACGAAATGTGAGGAGGCATACTCTAGAACTCTCGAGGCAATATTGGCACGGAACTCAGTGGACGGAACGAAGGTGGATGACAAGCATATGTAAATGAGCCACGTCGCCAACCCCTCCCGCGCCCAAACAGGTCTTGCACACTGTGGACCTTGGGCGCGCGATCCTGAATTCCGTCTCGGGCGACGGGTCTGACGTTCAAAGGAGGAAACTGTTTGGAGTCCATCTCAAGGCCAGAGGGGTCCCAAGTAAGCGGGGACTACGGGGGGGGCGCATAACCTCGGGGCCCGCCAGTGGCGTCGGTGCCCGACAGCGCGCATGCACGGCAGTGCGTTGACAGGCGATGATCGGTGGAAGGAGGACTAGAGGATTTGGGACAGGAGCTGGAGGAGGAGGACATGGGGAGGAGGCTGATTGAAAGAAGGGGGGGCCAGAGGAACGGGGGGAGGAAGATGATAAGCCGGCCCATTCACGAACGGGCGAGGAGGCACTTGGAAGACAGGGAGAGTGGGGTTCCAATGACGGTCCTGAAGAAACAACAAGCCCAAGATGGAGAAAACAAGCGAAGCGCGACGATGGACACGGGCATTTCTTAACGAAGAGTTCAATGTAAGAACTCAAAGCTCGAATCACACTCTTCTGTTCCAAATAACTGTTTTGATCGGTGACAGGGGCGATGGGCCCACACAACGATGATGCTCGCACCCCCGTGTCATCCTGCCAAATGTTCCAATGCAAAGATGATCGCAGGGTGCCCGCGGTGTTGTCCCAGTTGTGCCGAATCGTGCGCTGCGTATTGGTCTGTTTTGGCAGGGCCGCTGTCTTTTTTCCCAGGGTATACTAAATAAAACTCGCCGTTGCTACTGGGAGACGTTTAGTATGGGACCTTGTTGAAATAGGGAGTTTGAAATTAAGGGGGTCGGCGATTCCGCCGCGGGCCGCCCACCACAAAAACAACCACTAGAACCGCCACTAGAACGTCTACCCAGGGGCGCGCTTCTGCGAAACCCATGCCTTACCAGTTTATAATGATAATACGCGCCTTAGTCGTGGTAGTAGTAGTAGTAATAGTAGTAGTAGTAGTAATAGTAGTAGTAGTAGTAGTAGTAGTAAGTAGTAGTAGTAGTAGTAGTAGTAGTAGTAAGTAGTAGTAGTAGTAGTAGTAGTAGTAGTAGTAGAGTAGTAGTAGTAGTTAGTAGTAGTAAGTAGTAGTAGTAGTAGTGAGTAGTAGTAGTAGTAGTGGTGGGGGTAGTAGTAGTAGTAGCAGTAGTGGTGGCGGTAGTAGTGTAGAGTAGTAGTAGTAGGGTACGTAGTAGAAGTAGTAGTAGTAGTAGTAGTAGTAGTAGTAGTAGTAGTAGTAGTAGTATAGTAGTAGTAGTAGTGGTAGTAGTAGTAGTAGGTAGGAGTGAGCAGTAGTAGTATTAGTCGTCGTAGTCGTAGTCGTAGTCGTAATCGTAGTAGTAGTAGTAGTAGTCGTAGTAGTCGTAGTAGTACGTAGTCGTACTAGTAGTAGTAGTAGTAGTAGTAGGTAGGTAGAGTAGTAGTAGAAGGTAGTAAGTAGTAGTAGTAGTAGTAGTAGTAGTAGTAGTAGTAGTAGTAGTAGTAGTAGTAGTAGTAAGTAGTAGTAATAGAATAGTAGTAGTGGTAAAAGTAATAGTACTAGTAATAGTCGTCATCGTAGTTTTATTCATATTGAGTGTAGTAGGTAGTAGTAGTAGGTAGTAGTAGTAGTGGTAGTAGTAGTAGTGGTAGTAGTAGTAGTAGTATTAGTAGTAGTAGTAGTATGAATAGTGCTGGCTAGCACTAGTATCAATATTATCCGGTTTGTTATAAATGTCCAGAATCCGGAATGTAGTCTTTCTCGCCCGGCTGATCCTCTTATTCGTGTTAATTACTCTTAGTAGCCTGGTTCCATGTTTGAGATTACAAATATTCGTCGCAGGTACCTTCTTACTGTGCTCCTTCAAAGTCGTTTTCGCTGTATCTGAATGCGTAGTATTAGTATGGCTTCTGTCGTTGTTACCGTTTGTGTGATTACGTTGTTGCTATGAACGTCGCCTTGTTCCCCTGCATTAAGACTGGTATGACTATGACTAATATTGTTGTTGTTAGCTTTCATGTTTGACTGTTCTTGATATGATTCATCCTCCTCAATCTCCTCCTCTGCCTCCTCCTCGTCCTGGTCCTCCTCCTCCTGCCCCTTCTCCTGTTCCTCCGGCTCCTCCTCCTCCTCCTCCTCCTCCTCCTCCTCCTCCATCATCATCATCATCATCATCATCATCATCATCATCATCATCATCATCATCATCATCATCATCATCATCATCATCATCATCATCATCATCATCATCATCATCATCATCATCATCATCATCATCATCATCATCATCATCATCATCATCATCATCATCATCATCATCATCATCATCATCATCATCATCATCATCATCATCATCATCATCATCATCATCATCATCATCATCCTCATCCTCATCCTCATCCTCATCCTCATCCTCATCCTCAGCATCATCATCGTCAGCATCATCAGCATCATCATCGTCATCATCATCAGAGTCGTCCTCCTCCTCCTCTTCTCCTCCTTCCTCCTTCTCCTCCTCCTCCTTGTCCGCCTCCTCCTCCTCCTCTTCCTCCAACTCCTCCTGATCCTCCTCCTCCTCCTGCTGCTCCCCCTCCTCCTTCTCAGCCCCCCCTTGTCCCCCCGGTTCCTCCTTCTGGCAACCTGACAGCCCGAAAGGTTGCCAGAAAGTCGCCAGGGGAGGTCAGGTGCCTTCGGGGCGCCCGAGGGTCTACCCACCCACCCAAGGGCGGTCGGCCCTGGGGGGTGATCAAACTAGTGGACCAGGGGGGTTTGCCCACCGGCTGCGGATGAGTAGCCATAATAAGAAGCGACAGCAGACGAAGGAGGACGAAGAAAGAGCCAAAATATCATGATGCAAAGCCGGAAGGGAGGAGGAAGGAGTAGACTGGCAGCGGGCTGCGCAGGGTGAGCGGCCGGGGCTGCGCATCTGAGCGGCGGCGGGCCACGCTCGCCAAGGTGGAAGGCTCACGACGGGGACCCTCACCTTCAGGCGTACGGTTCCCAATACGTGGCGCTGGGGACCGCCGGGGGAGATCCACCGAGCGTGGGGGATGATTGCGCCTTCCATGGCGGTGGCTGTTCCACTTGAAGCCGTCCCCAAGCCCCTATAACCCGTCCGCTGCGTTAGCCTGCGTTGGCGGCCCAGCGACTGCGGCGACAGAGGTGGTGACGTGGCGGGGCTTAGAGGCAAGGCTACTGAGGTCGAAGGGGACAGATGTAGGGTGAGGAACGCAAGTCGTTGACGGTGTGGCTGTACGAGGGCAGGTCCAAGGCTGCGGCTACCCTGGCCCTAGCCATAGGCGCCCTGTAAGCGTGTTCTCAGTTCCCCTCCCAGCCCCCACATATAATCCCACCCCCCCTCCGACGGTTGCTTCGGCAGCAGTATTGTGTAGGCAGAGCGGTGAAAGGGGTGAGGCAGCGTTAACGCGCGGCGGCAGCTATCTCTGCTGAGGCTGTGGAGGCTAAACAAGCAGGCAGCGACAGCGGCATAGCAGGCAGTTCTGCTCGCTAGTCTGTGGAGAACTGGGCTGCGGACCGTCTCCCGTTGGCGTGGCCGTTTTTGCTGGACACGAGTGGGAAGAAGTAGGAGAAGTGAAAGGCGGGGGGAGCGCGGGCAACCGGGAGGTGAGCCAGCAGGAAGCGAAAGTTGGGTGAGGACCTCAAGACCAATGGAAAGGAGGCTCTCCGTGTTGCTACCCCTGAGGCCCCAGCTCGCAGCTGGTGATTCAGGCCCCCACCACGGATGCGCATGAGAGAGCTCTAACTATTCATCCTCCTTCTCCTCCTCCCTCTGCTCCTGCTCCTCCTCCTCCTCCTCCTGCTCCTCCTTCTCCTCTTCCTCCTCCTCCTCCACCTCCTCCTCCTCCTCCTCCTCCGCTCACGAAGCACGCATCTGTCTGCGACGGACGTGTCTGCGGGCATCCGCTTCCCGCCCCAGCCTCGTCGATGGACCCGAACTTCAGGGGCCGCGCAAGCGCGTCCGGACTGTCGTTGTCCCTGCCCGCCATGAGCTCCACCGGGCGGAACTGTGGCCGGGGTGGGGGGGGAGGGGGGGGGGACGGGGATCCGACCAGCCACAACTGGGGGAGCTGCGGTCCTTACCCCCCTGGGGGAACCCATCGCATCGACGATCTTTCGAGAGTGGTGTCGAAATCGATGGGTCCCCCAGGGGGGTAAGGACCACAGCTCCCCCAGTTGTGGCTGGCCTGGTGATGGGGAAGGGATACGGACACGAGCGAGGAGGGCGGCCAAAGCGCTGCTGATGCTGGTCAGGTGGGCGGCGTGGTGAGTCGGTCCGAGCGCCCGCGGAAGGGGACGTCGAGGCAAAACGCCCTACGGATCAAACAGAGAGATATAACAGCTGGGCCCTCTCGCGGCCTTCTCGGGGCCTTCTCATCCCTCTTCAGGATCGACGGAGCTGGCCGCAAGGCCTCTCTTGCGTGACGACTGGGACCTTAGAGTCGCATCTGGGAGCCATCAGAAAATTAAAATAGAAAGTTCCCCCACAGTCGGCGTGGAAGCTCGCTCCTCTCGCGGCCGGCGTCTGCGCGGGAAGGAAGCGGAAGATGAGGAAGAGGAGGCGGCAGGGGAGGCAGAGCAGGCAGAGAACAAGGAGGCAGAGGAGGGGCAAGAGGTGGAAGAGCGGGCTGAGGAGGGACGTTGGAGGAAGGGAGGCAATCGGTACGATGAAGGAACGATGGAGAAAGAAGGGTTCCTCCCCGGGCTTCCCTTCGAAACTTTCTTTGACCCATTGCTCCTGGACTTGCGGAACCCAACCTCGGCACCTCTGGGACACCCCACGCACTCTTTCTTGACCTCTCTCTGCTGCCACAACCGTTGCGAGCGACAAGGCGGCGTTGGCGCGCTAACTCGCGCCCAGCGCTCGCTGGTGATGTCAAGATAGTCGGCACCACTTCGCAAGTGAAAATGGGAATGGCAAGAAAATGGATGAACGAAGAGAGGAAATCGGTCACGCCATGTTCTCCGTGGTCTGGTACGCCTGCAAGTCCGCGATGGTGCCCTGCCCCTTCCGGGACGATACCAAGTCTCTGGACGCATCACGCGGTGCGGCAATCTCATGCTGCGCGGCGCTCTCTACTTTGTTCCATCCATCGAGGTCTGTCGTCCGCTCTCTCGTGCTCGTTCTCCCACCGTGTCACCATCACATCGGGACTCTAGCCCGTGCTCACTCGTAAGACTGCGGGCTCCATCGCACTCAAAAGCAGAAAGACCACCGACACCCATGATCCGCACATGACTCGCACCTGCTGCGCCTCGAGTCCTTCTGGCAAAGGCGACCGATCAGCCCTTCCTGCTTCAAGCCTGGTGGTGGGCGGTGGTGGTGGTGGTGGTGGTGGTGGTGGTGGTGGTGGTGGTGGTGGTGGTGGTGGTGGTGGTGGTGGTGGTGGTGGTGGTGGTGGTGGTGGTGGTGGTGGTGGTGGTGGTGGTGGTGGTGGTGGTGGTGGTGGTGGTGGTGGCGGCGGCGGCGGCGGCGGCGGCGGCGGCGGCGGCGGCGGCGGCGGCGGCGGCGGCGGCGGTGGTGGTGGGTGGTGGTGGTGGTGGTGGTGGTGGTGGTGGTGGTGGTGGTGGTGATGGTGGTGGTGGTGGTGTCACAGCGTGGGCCGCACAATTCGGATGTTCGTCAGCGGGGGACCATAAACGTCAAGAAACGTGGCCCTTTCGTACACCTTTTGGACCCGCGGTGGCAGCTTCGGAGCCGCGTTGGGCTCCTTTTTGGGGCCGCTCTCCTGCAGTCCTCGATCCCCCCACGTGTACTGCCCACCCCGTTGCCGTCCGCCAGAGCCATACCTGCCCTGCCGACCTCCCTGGCCCGCCGCGGCATTCAGCCAGTCGCTCCAGCGAAAGGGATCGGCCTCTGCGAGCTCGTGATCCCCGAGCTCCTCCGGCCCGCCGCTCGTCAAGGCGGGAAGGCAGAGAACTGGTGACCGGGAGGCACGAAATCTGCCGCGGCTCCGACGTCTGCAATGCACGCCGGGGGAGGGCGAGCGCGCAGCGCGCAGCGCACACAGAAACGGCGAGCGGGGGGGTGGCGCAGGCGGCCGCAGGCGAGATGGCCGATCAAGCTTGTGCGACTGCGAGCTCGCGACATACTTTCTGGCTCGGAAGTCCCTCGGCCTCCTGAGAAAATTTCTGAGCCTTCCCCGAACACACGGAAAGCCTCTCAGCAGGCGCGAGGGCTTCTCAGAAGTCCCGCCGCCTTCTGAGCAGGACTTCTCCTTCTCACTTTCCCCCCCTCGCTCGGCGCTGATACTCGGCGCGGTGGACTCGGATGCCAGCCCGCTGGCCCCACGTATCGACTGTGCGGAGGGGCCGCGGAGGGAGGGAAGGCGAGCCGAGGGGTTGGAAGCAGGCCACAGCGGCCCACCACGGCCATGAGAGCAAAGACGCGCTGAGCTCACTCGAGAAAGAATGGAAGAACGTGGACACACGATGAAGCGACTCATAGCTGAGACTGAGCAAGCATCTGCGCGACAAAATGCAGCCTGAAATCATATACGTGGAATCGCCGAAGAGCGAGAAGATCCTTGGCGTCTGCCCACATCCACTGGTAATATCCCTCCTGCGCCGGCCGCCGAGGACACTCTGAGTCAAATGGCACGAGTGCTTACGGAGAGCTCAGCAGCGTTGGAGAGTACATCATACATCTCATCGCCCTCCCACGAAACAACAGCTGGAGAGAGCGAGGCAGAAACACACACACACACACATATACAGAGAGAGAGAGAAAGAAAGCGGAGACGGAGACGACCGGGAGCAGGTGCAGGGACGGGCAGAGGGACAGAGGTAGACACTCAGACACACACACACACACTCTCACACACGGGCTAAGGCACACGCGCAGATGAAAGACGAAAGTGTGGACGCGGACCCGCCGTATGGAGTGCAAATACACAGACAAAGACTTCAGCTGGCGAGGGAGCCGTCACGGGCTGCGACCAGGCCAGCCAGAGCAGCGGAGAGGAGAAGCCAGCGGACCGCACGCCACGGCAGCTCGCTGCACGAGGGGCGCACGAGCACGTACGCTCGGACGCACTGCCACACTGGCGTGCCGGCACGCGCACGCACACGTGCGGAGAAGAGCCGCCAACCAGTCACACTGGCAAAGGCACAGAGACAAGGCGCAGGAAGAGCAAAGTCGAGTGGTCCTTGTGAGACGGCGGCGCCATGTCGAAGAGGCGCCTCCGACTTTCTCGCCCACGCGTCGTGCGGGAGAAAGCATGTCAAAGCGGCCGCGATACCATCCCACCTCACACGAGCCAGACTGTCTCCCTAGCTTCTACTAGTACTTTGTGGAATCGTCTTCAAACGCGGAAGCATGCATGCAATGTATGTATTAATATGTGGCTTCTGTGAACATGGATGTGTGTATACACTATGGGAATTGTCAAGGGCCGTATGAGGAACAGCTGGCGTTACAGGGCGATGGAGCTTGTGTTGAAGCCCATTGGTACCTTGGTCGTGCACTTTTTGACTGAAGGGGCAGGCCGTGGATGCCAATAGCGGGGTCGTTGCATCGTGGATCGCAGATTCAGGAGCCAGCATTTCGCAGGCTCATGTCTGTAGTTTCCTCTGGGCACCAGAGATCGTGTGGGATGTGGGTACAGACACTCAACCACGTGGGCTTGTTCTCGTGTGAGCCTCAGGGCTAACTTTCGCATGGTGCTTTGAAGAAGCGGCCAAGCATCATCGTCATCCTCATCATCACCACCATATTCACAACCATTTTCGTCGTCGCGGTCGTCACCATCGTCATCCTCGTCCTCGTAATTAATTCTGAGATAAGGCTTCCCGCCCAACAGACGAGAGCGCTCAGCATCAGCATCGCCAGTTGAACCATCAGCATCATCCGAATCAGCATCGGCACAGTGACCCACCCGCTGCCAGGGCCCCAGCCCGAATCTGGTGTCTCTTGATTCCTGGGAGACGCTGGCCGTAAGGAGCCACCCCTATGAAATGCACATGACAAGGAGACCGATTATTAGGCAATCGTTAGCCTAAAATGACCCACCCACCCCCTCCCATCAATCTTATCATCCTCCTCAGCAGCATCGCCGACCTCGCACTCTTGGCCCGTTGGGAAAATAGGCATTCATTACCCTGTAACCCTAAAATGGCCCACCCCCCTCCTGTCAGTCTTACATTGCGGGCGCGGCCGCACGAAACCCTCGCAAGAAACCCAACCCAGAAAACCCGCGCGCAAAAAGCGCCGGAAGGGAAACCTGAGAGCACCCTGAACGCACCAGCTTCTGCAGCGGCCGCGGGAAGTCACCGCGCAGCTCGCGGAGCGAAGGAACCCAGGATACCCCGACGAAAAGCATAATGTGGGCTTATTGATAGGCGTGGGGGGGAACCCCCAGACGGGGGTCAGCCTCGCCTCGTCGTCGCGCCACGACGGGGGTCGGAGCACCTTCGGCGCGCGGTGGCTGCCCGCGACGAGGGTCGATGTGGGGCTGGGGGTGACGCCCCCCCGACGCTTACTAAGAAACTCGGAGTACCCGGAGTATGGCTTCTTGATGCGCGCATGCGCAACCACCCTGTACACTGTATCATCCTCCTCAGCAGCGTCATCGACCTCGTCACTCGGCTCGGGCTCACTGGCCGTGCAGGTCACCGCCATCCCTCGGCACGGGGCGTCTGGGGCGGCCTGCTCGGGGCCTGCGCGGAGGTCGGCCGCCTCAGACTCCTGGGGGGGGGAGCAGGCATCCTCCTCCGCATGGACCTGGTATTCCGTCCTCCGCCAGCCCTCCTCTTCAGAAGTTTAGGCGATCGACGTCTTATCCATGCCCCTGCTCACGCCAGAGCTCCCCGCGGGGGCGGAGCGGGGGCATGGATGAAGGTCCAGCCTCTGGAGGCCGAGTGCTTTGTCCATGCCCTGCCCCCTGGCGGCCTCCCCGGAAGTAACCACTCCTCGTCGCACCACCAAATGCGCTGGCCTGGGCGAATCGCCTCAGCCTTCCTCATACTTGAGCATCCGAGGCTCGGACGGTCCACGCGGACAGAGGGTGACCGGGCTCGGGAGTGTGGCTTTTGCCTTCGGGCCGCGCACGCGCGCCTAAGGAATGACCGCCAACTGCACCGATGAAGGCGGCCCGTATTCAGATTCGGGCCATCGCCCTCGCGCCGCGCACATTCGCCCCAAGAGCTCTATCCACACGGAAGTCCCACCATCTACTCGGACGGAGGACAACCGGTTTTCAAGAAGAGGCTCTCGCCGTAGCGTCGAGCACGATCGTCCTACAGCTCCATGAATGGAGGGCAAATTATGTTTCAGACTTGGGTTCTGGCTGATCTCTTGCAGACTTGCTATCCGAAACTTACGCGAGCAATCAATGGACATACGCGTTTGGGGAACCAAGGCTCTCGCGTGGGACGTTTTTTTATGATTTTGATGGGGCTCCTGCTAAAATGACAAGCCCACGGGGCGCCCGTCTTGCAAGCAGGCGCTTCCCACAGTGAGAAGGAACCCTTGCGCGCACTCATGAGAAAGGAGTTTGGGGACCGGGAGGAGTAGCGCAGCATCGGTGGCGCATCTTGGATGTTGCTGTGGAAATATGTATCCTCCTCCTCCTCCTCGAACCCATCAAGATGCGGATCGGTTCGGCTTACGCTCGAGGTACTCAAACATGGGACGGATGGGGACGCCACCCCTCCGGAGGGAAAGGAGGCCTCGGCGAAACCCCGGCAGCCCTCGAAAAAGAACGATGATCCGACAGGGTACGTCGCAGGTCCTCCTCTTCCTCCTCACCCTCCTCATCTCTCTCCTCCTCATCCTCCTCCTGCTCCTCCTCCTCCTCATTATCCTCCTCCTCCTCCTCCTCCTCCTCCTTCTCCTCCTCCTACTCCTGCCCGTTCTCGTCGTCTTCCTCCTCCTCCTACATTCCTTCTCCTTCTGAATAACCCCTCACTGTCGCACCCCGAGGCCAGTTGGAAAGGCGAGCTGGGCGTTTCGCCTGCGACTTCATCACCATCTCTGATCCTCAAGCTTGAAATTTCTAACAGCGTCACGGATGGAGGGCGGGCGATTTTCAATATGTGGCTCTCGCCTTAGCGCCACGCACACTCACCTTAAACAATGCAAGGAGCTCACGGATTGAAAGCGGGTCGTTCTCAAAATGTGGCTCTCGCCTTAGCGCCGCGCGCACTCGTCTTGAAAAATATACAATTTCACGGATTGAGGGCGGGTGGCCTGCAACATGTGGTTCTCGCTTTAACGGCGCGCACAATCGTCTAAAACTTGAAAGGAGCTTCACGACATCAGGGCGGGTCGTTTTCAACATGCTGCTCTCGCCTGAGCGCCGCGCACGTTCATCTAAAATGCTTGCAAGAGCTTCATTAAGTGGGGGCGGTTCCTTTCCAAAATGTGGTTCTCGCCTCGGCGCCGCGCACGTTCGCCTTCAGAAATGGACAAAGTTTTACTGATTCCCATGGTCAACGTACCAGAAATGGCTTGTTGGAACGATTCAAGATTGCCAGGGCGAAACAATTACGTTGAACCGCAGTTTTGAAGTCCCAAGAATGGTGTTCTGGCACGCTTCGAGATCGCCAAAATGAAACATTCAAGATGACACGCGGCGTTGAAGTTCCGAGAATGGTGCTGCGGCACGCTTCCGGATCTTCCGACGGTTGTCTCCCAACGGGGCAGTTCCCTGAGTGGGAATGAACCCTTGGAGGAAGGGTCTTTTCCAACATCGTTGATGAGTCTTGGTTTTTCACTGGTCCTTCTCCTTACCCCCTCCTCCTCCTCCTCCTCCTCCGCCTCCTCCTCCTCCTCCTCCTCCTCCTCCTCCTCCCCCTCCTCCTCCCCTCTCTCAACCTTCTCCTCCTCCTCCTCCTCCTCCTCCTCCTCCTCCTCCTCCCCCTCCTCCTCCTCTGCCTCCTCTGCCACTCCTGTGCTCGTCGTCCGAGCCAACGTGCAAGCAGGCGGTGGCGACCAGCGCCGAGGCCACAACGAGCGCCAGGGGAGCCGCCTGAGAGGCGCTGGGGCGGGAGAGGGAACGCGACGAAGGCACGGACGACGACGACGACGACGACAAAGGAAGACGGGGACGACGACGACGACGAAGACGGAGACGACGACGACGACGACGACGACGACGACGACGACGACGACGACGACGGCGACGACGACGACGACGACGACGACAACGACGGCGGCGGCGACGTGGCAACATGGGCCGGGAGCGGCGTGCACGCGACCCAGACATCTGGCGGCCGACTTGCGGGCCCGGCCGAAGGCCACTCGACAAGTTCCACAATCGTCGCAAATGTTCAAATCCTTTTGGGCGTCGGCGGAATGGCGTGGGCCACTTGAACGAAACGGATTTGCCAAAGCTGTTTCGGGGTCCGCTGGTCTTGCCGTGGATGCTGATCCTGCTGAGTGATCTCATCCCGTGCCGGCTGGTTCAGGTCGGAAGTTGGGAGGTGAGATCGCAGTGGAACGGAGAGCCCCCCGCAGGAAAATCGGTTCCAGTTTCGTTTTTCGTGTCGCGCGTGCGGGCGAGGCGAAGCTGCGCGGGCGCGAGGAATAATCCCGTCGTCGCTCGGGCGATTCGGATGCAAAAATCCAGCCCTCTGGTGGGCGCGCGGTGGCTGGGGGTGTCCCGCCGTGGTGGTTCGCGGTGTCCCGATGGTGTCCCGCAGTGTCTCGCAGCGGGCACGGGAGAGCAATAATCCCGCCGTCGCTGGGGCGATTCGGATGCCAAAATCTGGGCTTCCTGTGGGCGCGCTTTGGTTGGGGGTGTCCCGCTTTGGTGTCCCACGTTGTCCAGACGGTGTCCCGCGGTGTCCGTCCGTGGTGTCCCGATGGTGTCTCGTGGTGTCCCGTGGTGTCCCGTGGTGTCCCCCGGAAACTCGGTGATGTCCCGCGGTGTCCCGTGGTGTCCAGTGGTGTCCCGCGGTGTCCCGTGGTGTCCCGCCGTGGTGCCTCGATGGTGGCCCGATCGATAATGAGATCGATAGTGAGATCGATGACGGCCGAAATGAGGTGAGATCGGTAGTGGGATCGATAGCTGGATCAATAGTGAGATCGATATATTATGGGATCGGTAGTTGCATCGATCGTGCGAGAAGCAGTAAGATCGAAAGTGAGATCGATACTTGCATCGGTACTGGAATCGATAGCGAGGACGATAGTGCGATCGATTGCAAGATCCACAGCGAGATTGATAGTGGGATCGGTTACAAACTCGATTTTGATATCGATTGAACTCGCTTCAGAAATCGAAGGTGCAGCCGATACTGAGATCGGTCGAGTGAGATCGATGGTAAGATCGCTTGTAAGACTGATGGCGAGACCGATGATGAGATCGACTGCGGGATCGATAGCGAGATCCATTGAGTGAGATCGATGATACAATCGATAACGAGATCGGTTGTGAGATCGATCACGTGAGACCGGTGGTGGGATCGCATCGCGGCGCAACATAGGTCATCAGGCCTCGCCGCCAACGTGGGGGCGTGCCACCAGCACCGTCATCATCACACCCATCGCAGATGTGAACAGCTGATTCTGTCCCGTACCCCCAACCTCCTTATCGCGCGAAGGGTGGTCGTATAGATATTGTTGCTGATGTGGCTCAATATTATCCTTTGCGTCGTGTGCTGGCGTTCGTTGTTGATTGCAGCTTCCTGGCCTCACCGAGGCCTGCGTTGCATTCTGGACTGCTTCTTTCTTCTCGTTGATGAATGTCCTGGCCTTCGTGAAGTCATCCTCGATGCGCCCGTACTACTCTGTTCGGCCTGCACCCAGAAGAAGCAGCTCATCGCTGCTAAGCTGCGGGAAATCATCTTCGCATTCAGCCGGCAGTTCTGCTCGGATATCGGCTGCATCTGGATCCCCAATTCAGCTTTGAGCTCTGCTAACGCCTTCTTGGACGCTGCCAAGATATTCACGAACTCGGTGGTCATGTGCAGTACCTCACCGCGGTACTCGGTGGCTCGCTGAAGTTTGCTTTGCCAATTGCCACGGTACTTCTGCACACGATTGAGGTCTGCCACTGACTCTTTGAGCTTCTGCCCTGTCGTGAAAACCACTGGTACTGCCGGTGGCTCGGGTACTGCTGTTTGGCATACGGTTTCGATCTGGTGCTTGTCCGAACCCTCTCTGGCCTGGATGCACTGAATGGTGACGGGTTCCACCATCGCCTTCTTGGTGTCACTGTTTATGTCCGCTGCATCGTCTGTCTTCTCAACCGTGGGTTTCCACTGGGTCCATCCTGGTCGCCCAGCTCGATTGCAGTATACCAATTTGCCACCGCACCTAAAAGACAAGTTGGAAAAAAAAACATATTTGCCGCCGCCTTGCCTCTCGTCTCTGGCGGTCTCTACTGGTCGAACGTGATCCGCTGCGCCACGGGATTCCCCACGACGCCGTCGCTCCTTCACGTTGCCAAACCCTGCCTCTGGTCATGCGCTGCGACAGCAGGAACGTTAGCGGCAGCTCTGCTGGCCGCCCCCTCGAGCCGCGAACCCACGCTTGGCGGGCGCCGCCCGCCACCGCCGACGGTGCGCGCCCTGCTGCCTCGGCCCTCGCAAGCACGGGTGCCTGATGGGCCGAAACGGGTCGAGGGAAGGAGACGGGCGGAGGAGGGAGGAGGAGGAAGAGGCTGAGGCAGGAGGAACGATCGGATCGGGTCGGCCATCCGCGAAAGCAAGGTGCACGACCTCGACAGTCGGGGGGCTGGAAATGAGGAGCCCCACAGCCCGAGAAGGAAGGAAGAGGGAGGAGGAATGAGCAGGGGGGGAGGGGGAGAAGAGCGGCGACGAAGAGCAACAGCAGAGGGAGTTCCAGATAGATCGGCGCGCCCAACTGCCCAGAGCTGGAGAGCATGTCTGGGGGAGGCGCCGAACGCCTTCCGATGCTCCATGGGCGGGCAGAGTGGGCTGCCAGCGCGAGTCTGTTTTGAACATGCAATGCTGCAGGATCGCCCTCAGCCAGCTGCTGGAATCATCCCGAAGCAACCACCGACCTGGCGACCGTGTTCCCCCATTCGGAATTCATGGTCACAAAAGCGAAGGCGTCCTCCTCCTCATCCTCCTCATCCTCCCCTCCTCCTCCTCCTCCTCCTGCATCATCATCATCATCATCATCATCATCATCATCATCATCATCATCAGCATCATCATCATCATCGTCGTCGTCGTCATCATCATCATCATCATCATCATCATCATCATCATCGTCATCATCATCATCATCATCATCATCATCATCATCATCATCATCATCATCATCATCATCATCGACACCGTCATCGTCACCCATCATCCATCATCATCATCATCAGCAGCAGCATCAGCATCAGCATCATCATCATTATCATCGGAATCATCCTCATCAGCAGCAGCATCAGCATCATCATCATCAGCATCATCATCAGCATCAGCATCATGATCAGCATCATCAGCAGCATCATCATCGTCATTAGTATCATCATAATCATGAGCATCCTGCCACCAGCATCAGCATCATCACCACCATCAGCAGCATCAGCATCATCATCCTCAGCAGCATCATCAGCAACATCATCAGCTCGACGTCGTGTTCATCAGCATCGTCGGCATCAGCATCACCACCACCACCACCACCAGCATAATCACCATCAGCAGCATCATCAACAGCGTCATCATTAGCAGCAGCATACTCATCAGCATCAGCAACGTCATCATCATCACCATCATCAATATCATCACCCTCATCGTCAGCAGCAGCACCAGCATCGTCACCGTCAGCAGCATCATCATGATCAGCATCATCAGCAGCAGCATCATCACCATCATGAGCACCATAATCATCATGTCGTCGTCAGCATCGTCATCGTCATCGTCATCATCATCGTCATCAGCAGCAGCAGCATTAACATCAGCATCAACATCCAGCATCATCATCACCACCACCATCATCATCAGCAGCAGCATGATCATCATTAGCATCGTCATACACTCGGCCCGTATCATCAGGATGCGCGATCAGGATGCAAGGGCCTTGGAGGCCCATGTCGAAGCTGTTCGAGCGCGACGCGGCGAACGAAACTGGCCAATGGACCGTGGATGCAAGAATGCAAGGGTACCCTTGGGAATGTTGCCCATCGTTGCTATGCGGGTTGCCTGTAATCCTCATCCTCCTAACCATCAGCATCACCAGCAGCAGCAGAATCGTCGTCGTGATCATCATCATCATCATCATCATCATCATCATCATCATCATCATCATCATCATCATCATCATCACCATCATCATCATCATCATCAGCATCATCATCATCCTCATCATCGTCATCATCATCAGCATCATCATCACCCTGATCCTCCTCATCATCAGCAGCATCATCAGCATCATCATCATCGTCATCGTCATCATCATCAGCATCGGCAGCATCACCATCACCATCACCATCACCATCACCATCACCATCACCATCACCATCATCATCATCATCATCATCATCATCATCATCATCATCATCATCATCATCATCATCGACACCGTCATCGTCACCCATCATCATCATCATCATCATCATCATCATCATCATCATCATCATCATCATCATCATCATCATCATCATCATCATCATCGTCATCATCATCACCAGCAGCAGCAGCAGCGCAGGATCCGCGCGCGCGACCCCCTCTTTCCAGGTGCGCTCGCCATGGTCAAAGCTTCGGGGAGGACGCAGGCCTGGCACCTGTGGTCCATCGCATCCGCTCCGTCGTCCTTCTCCCTCCTGCTCCGCCTCCCCCTTCCAACATCGATCCTGTCAATCGGCTGGCGCATCTAGCCACGATCCTCGGCTTGCCTCCCAGCCCCCTCCCGTCCCCACGCCAGATTCCGACGACACCCAACAGGAGATACCCTCCAGACGCCCCACTCCCAACAGCCAGGCCGAGGGGGAGGAGGACGACAACCAGGGGGAGGACGAGGAGCAGGAGAAGAGGGAGGAGGACTATCAGCTCACTGAGCAGTTGTTACCCCCTGGTGATGCCACTTCTGCACAGGCCGCATCTGACAGGTGACAGACACGCACCCTGCTCACCGCCAGAGCAAAGTCCGTGTGGGACATGTTCCCGACCCGCTCCATAAGAGGGCCCCTGGAGGGCCCAAGAAGAGTTGCCAACTGCGGCAACGCCAACAAGACCCCGCTGGTCGCAAGGCGGCACGCTGGTCGGGCTCATCAGGCTCCGATGAGCCCAGACAGAGCTCAAAGAGGGCTCGAAAACCCACCAGGATCCAAAATACCGTTTGAGGAGGGCCGCGGGGGGCGACGAGCTCTCCGAGGCGCCCCCTGAGCCCTCCGACAAACCTCCCCGACCCACGGACCTGCACAAACACCCCAGCCAAGGCCCTGCAGCCCCCGTTCGAACCCAAAGAGGCCACAATGACCCTCAACAGACCCCAGAGCGAACAACGTGCTTCCGCAGCTGGCGGCTAAACGTAGAAGGCATCGGGATGAGGCCAGGGAGGTACGGCACGAGCAAGAGAACGGCTGCATTTGAAAGCCGTGTTCTTCCTCACCCAGCGTGTTGGAACGTTCTCATCACCAAGCCGTTTGCCTCCTCACCGGAACTGCCCCGAGGCTGGCCCCCAGGATTATGTTGCTCCCATCGTACTGAAGGACCACATCCCAGAATAATTTCGAGCACCCGATAAAGTGTCGAAAGGGTGTCGAAACAGTGTCGGACGAGTGTCCCCCAGGGTCCGAAACGTGAAAACCCTTGAAGTTTGGGGTACTTTTCTGGTGCTCGAAATTCCTTCTAGCGATCAAGGCTAAAGTAGGTTGGAACATCATAACCCAAGGACGGCCCCAGAGATACGGGAACGAGGAGGGGAAGGGACCGAACGACTGCGGAGCAGACGCGGGAGGCCTGCCCTCCCGCCCTCCCGCCCTCCTCCTCCTCCTCTCCCTCCCTCCCTCCCTCCCTCCCTC